GTCCGCCAGTACGTCAAATGCTGCGAGAGGCAGGATGCTGGCCACGGCTAGGATGGCCTGTGTGTTTTTCAGGAGACTTTGCATCCAAATTTCGAGGAGAATCCCCGCGTCCATGCTGGTGTGCCTAGGAGCTTTTACATCTGTCATAAAAAGGCTGAAGACAAGCTGTCACCTAGTTGCAGATCTCTAAACCGTTGCTGCAGTCGAACCTTGTCAGCGAGCGTGATACGTTAGACGATCGCCTGCTTTAAGATCTCATAATTCGCATCGGGAGGAGGGCAAGCTATGGTGTCTCTCACCTGGAAGCATACGCTTTGCGGAAGCCAGGACATAGGTTGATGATATTTAGTACAATCAGAGGAAATTATACAATCATAAATGAATTCTAAATGTGCAAATCATAATAACGGGTTATTCTCCAAAAAGTTGGGATGCTAGTTCTACGTCACTAATCATGTACGTGGATGGTTCACCATCCGAACCATTCATCTTGAGAAATGAATAAGCACGCAGGACAGAAAAAAACAAAACAATAGCGAGTAATAGAGCCAAAAGTCACTGGAACAAGCTCAACAGAATGAAAATCCAAAATGGCGGGCGGCGTGTTCTGGAACATGGTCATCAATTGTTCGGTGGCGCTTGGGATACTATTCGGTGCACAACGACAAGTAAGAGACGTGTCAAATACGGGACAGTATAGAAGTTGAAGGCAACTAGACCCCACGTGTATTGTACAGCCTAAAAAATAGGAAGCGAATCAACCAGAGAGAGAAACGGTTTATTTGAACACCTCCATGGACAGCTGAAAGCCTCGCTCTGTTCCTCCTACGACCATGGCTAGAGAGTAAACATTTCGCTCGTAATCTTGGGCATTCGCAGAGGCATCAAAGCTGATTTGCAATGTGCGCCAGCAGAGCTGGTTTACGGCATAACGCTCAAATTTCCAGCAGAATTCGTTTTGCCCCTCACATCGTCGGGCATGCTCCGGCCTAAGTTTGTCCTCCCTAGCTGAACGTATACGTTCACTACGCTCGAATCCGCCACGTGAGCAGTGTAGACATGTGCAAATGCACAGCGGACTCCCTACCTGCATTCATGTCTTCCACCGCACGGACGCAATGTGGCGTCCTCTCCAGCCTCCCTACACTGACACTTTCATAGTTCCGCAAGATACTCCGAAACAACGTAAACAAGAATGGTCACCGAACAGCGGGGTACATCGGCCGGCTTAAAGTGACTATCTTTGACGAACAAGTTGCAACCCCTCGTGATGCTATCACACAAAACCCGCATCTCTGGTGACTTACCAAACACAGGATAACCTGAAACTATCTGTTCACCTTGACCCTCAACCTACGCCGCCTTAACCTCAGAAAACCCACCGACGCGGTAGACAGGTCAAATGTCCGGTCCGTTTTCCAGATTTTATAAACGTTTGCCATTTTCAATAACACGCCTTGTTCGTCTCTAGTGATACTCGTGTGTCTCATCCACAATCGTATTGCAAAATGAACGAAAATGCTCAAAACATTTTGAAAACATAAAAAGCGTATTTGCTTTTATCATGCATGCCATGTTCCATCTCCGGCATCAAGTTACTCCCCTCGGAGTTGTACCTTCCAGTAACTTAACTACCGAAACTACCAACGCAACCACCAAGTGGATTGCATCCGGCTCAAAGCAAACCCTAAGTTACTCCCTAGCCGACACAAGACTCCCTTCCTGGCTCAAGGTAGAGTCAGTCGCCCACAACCGCGGGCGGCCACGAACGGATTGGTCCCCAAACGCCTGGCTAGACGTTGCCGACGAGGAAGATCGGATTTCGTTGTGAGACCAGGATTCTGGACCAGAGTGGGATGAGGGGAGTAACAACTCCGTAGCGCACATTCGAGTCTATAGCAGGGAAAATGTCCTGTCGGCCTTTCTCTGGACTAGCCAGATAGTTTACAGTCCGATCAGCCCGCTACGACGCTCCGCCCATGATGCACTCTTGCACACATTTTCATCATAAAAAGTTAAAAACAAATCCCTGGACCCAGCGAACTTTGCTACACACCCCATATTTGGAACCTGTGTGTAAGTGAATGCAAATATTCGCACCCATCCTCACCTCCCGTTTCCCTTTACTAATAGCTCCAATGAAGGCTCCCATCCTTCAGCGGACTCCGGGGTCCTTCTATTGTACCTGAGAACATACGTAGTCTTGTGCAACATTGGATATTAGCGCTGCTTTGACATTCGAAACGTCCACTTGTTTTACTAACGGCACTTCGGTTGACAAAAATTGTTTTGGTAAATATGTTGCTACACTGTTTCTTGGTCTGGTTGATTCGCTCCCCATTTTTGTGGCCTGCGCAATACACGCTGGGTTATGTCGTCTCCAAACTCTATACTGTCTGATTAGCCGAACAAACACCTCGTGGTACCAACTGGTGGTTTAGGTTTCCCCGTTCCAGCAAAGAGTTTATCGGCAGGGTTCCAGGGCGTGGAGGGATTCCCCCTGGCAAGCGTTCTCTCAATAAAAGCCACAAATCTATGCCAAACAACATTCTGACGTGGCGAATGTGTCTTGCCACCAACAAAAGTCACTGCCTCATGGATATCCGGAAATTTCTATCCAAACCACGGATATCAACCGTTTATCACATTCCTGACGATTAAAAACATACAAAAATGCTGCGGCACATTCACAAACACAAGGTACACAGCATCTGTCATAAACAATTAGTTGGCGGCATCCGGTTTCGGATTTGCCTGTCACTGTGGTCAGCCAAAGGATGCTTGCGCCTACAGAGGGATCATTGGAGGCTTGCGCTGCACCACCCACAGCTCCGTCCATATACCCCATATCCAGGGTAAACCAGAAGGAATAAGACCGGGAAGCATGTGGATGGGAGCCACGTTTCATCAAACGGAGCCGGCCCACACTCCTTCACAGGCAAACACAAGCACACTGCATTTGGGGAATCAATCGCACACACAAGACGGTGGCTGGACCGTAGTCCGCTCCACACTGAGTGCATGGAACCGCTCTTTGAGCCTAGCACAGCCACAAGAACCGTGCACCCCGTCCCCTCCAGCAACGATTAACTGTCACCTGGAGCTAGTATGGACGAGGTAGTGGGTAATAGACAGGTAGGCAACTTGTGAACATGCACATCAAGCGCCGCCACTCCGGGGATTTCAAGCAACAGCCAGTCACTTGGAATGACAAGATGAAGTAAAATAAATCGAATAATGCATACAGGTACGGTGACATAACTCTTAGCTAAATTAGCAAATGAAGTAAGTTGGTTGACGACGAATCCGCGATGAGTAAATATATCCACAAATTACTTAAAAATGCTACAAACAAAACAACGTTGCCGAAGATAAGCGCAGTCAGCGTTAGCAACGTGGCCAGTTCATAGAAGGTTATTCCGGTATGCAGAACAAAACAAATAAAGTGGAATAAAATTTATCCAGCTTACAAATACCTGGTTTAATTGTAACTTGGTTTAGCCCAACTGCGGTGAAGGGGCATCAAGTATACAACAGCAGACTCAGCATGGGAAAATCATACACAATTACCTACGTTTATACACCCATACACATTCACAGTTATGCCAAAAATGTATTTTTGTACATTTTTGGTCCCACTATGTTAGCTTAACATGATCACGCATGTAAAGGTGTGCCTCACGTTGTCAAAAATAAGTTTATTTATTTATTCAGCTGACGTATCTTGCGTGTCGTTGCTTACCGACTAGTATAGCAGGCGCTACTTAAAATGAGCTGTCGCCTTGGCTCTTTGAATATCTCAAAATTTTGGGCACCTTACCTTTTCTTGGCCGTCCGTGCGTAAATTTATCTTTTTCCAGACTCCAAAGCCTACCGTGCGTTATGTGTATTGGTGGGTGAGCACGCAGTTCCCGTTATTTTGAGGACTTTCCTACGCTTGAGTTTCCTCCTTATGCATTGCTTCGGGAACAAGAACGGCTCTCCCCAGAAGAAGCCCCCAGAAAGCCACAAACGGATTTGTCTTCAAACGCCTGGGTAGGCGTTGCCGACGAGGACGCTGGATTTCTTCAAGGAACGTGGAAGTCCAGATTTATGCTTTTGACCAGGATCGGTGACTGGAGTGCGATGGGGGGAGTGACACCACCAAAGCGCACCCTCGGGTCCGCAGGGGAGGGAATGTCTTCTCGGTCTTATTATTGACTAGCCTGTGTTTTGCAGTCCGACCAGCCCACTTCGATGCCTCACACACTCTTACACACATTATCATCAAAAATAATTAACAGCAAAGATTGTATCCAGCGAACTCTGCTGCGCACCCTATTTTGGAGGCCCGTGTTCAAGCCCACGCAATTATTCACACCCATCCCTATTTCCCGTTTCCATCAACTAATAGCTCCAACAAAGGTTTCCATCCTTCAAGCTACTAGGAAGAGGCCCTTGTAGTGGACCGGAAAAGCCGCTCCTTCAGGATTTTGCAACGTTGCAATTTACCGTTGTTTTGACCTTCAAAACGTCCACTTTTTTCCCGACGGCAATTCCGTTGACACAAATTGTTTTGGTGAGTAGCTTGCTGCACGGTTATTTTACATCCAATGTTGTAAAGCCGTATTGGGGCATAAAAGGAATTCATCCTTATTGTTAGGTTACCTTAAGCACTGTTTCATCCTAATCAGCTGACACATTGTAGGATAGACTTCGGCAAACCCGCCTTTAAGTAGAAACAACGCGATCATTAATCTCATATATCACACTTATGCCAGGCTATCGTCGCGTATGGCATCATGATGTGTCACACTGCTTGTCCGGTAACCTAAGTAGGTCAGAATTGTTGTGATTAAGCCTCAACGACTACCGATTTGACTAGTGCACTAAAATTGGTATCACCAATGGGTTTCGTCTTAATACTACCCTTGTGTGCAGTATCGATTGTTTTCAGTAGCAAATACCAATACCGCGTGCTTGCTGTCCACACCGGATTTGACATTCCGAAACATACCTTTGGCGTGAAAAGCACAATTCAATGGCACAAAGAGCCAGGTGCTGTGTCAATGCGTATAATCGCCGTACACCCGATGGAGTAAGGGGCGTTTTGTGCGTCCTGGGATGTTGCCTCATCCATCTGGGGTATGGTTACTTCTATACCATCGGTAATGTTCCTTTTTGCGCCATAGCATTACATAATGTGTAGGAAACATGGGCACTTATATCACAGCGTATATGAGCCACCGCGATGTGACGGTCACAAAAAATGACATGCTACTTTTGACCGCAGTACTGATTGGTTTCGAGTCACTGGCAATGCCCATCGGTGGATTGGTGCACAAGAAAATAGGCCTACGTCCACTCGTGCTAGTCAGTGCGCTGATCCAAGTGTGAGTTCGGTGTGCATTCAGTTAATGGTTTACATTCAAAATTTTGCTCATTTTATTCTTGTTACTAAAATCTGTGGTTTCGATAGCGCTATTGATTATCTATGCAACAGCAGGATTAATGATTTAGATGAACGGTCACGCAGGCAGGAGGATCATACGACCGAAATTGCATGGTATGAATTTCGTACTAGTTTTCTTGCCTTATCTTGTTCGTGATCTTCCGGATGCTTCTAAGTAAGCCTCATTTTTTGCTCTGAAAAATCGAAGTTGATGTCTTTTACTCTGTGGTCTTGGAAGCCATTGGTTTGACTGATGCTAAGCGACGGAGCTGGTGCTGTAGCAATCCCGACGTCTACCATTTGATGATAGGGTAGCTGTAAATGTAACGGATACTATCTGCTTGAGTGTGAAATATAGTACGCGGTTTTGTTGAGAGTTCAGTTGCTTGCATGTTTGAACCGCGAAGCAGTGCAACTCCACAGCCATCCTAAAAAGAACTAGGAAATCCGCCACAAGTCGCTGCTCTAGGATCAAGTAGCAGGTGCTTTGTGCCTCACTCCGAATTAGCCACCAGTACTACTTTGAAACTCACTAAAAGCGCATCACTGCGAAGCGGTTAGTTTAACCTGGCCATGCACTACAGCCGAATCGGATGCCGATGAAAGATTTCCCCGTCCGAGTGCCACAGACTTAGGAAGCCCTCTCAAAACACGAAGTTATTTTCCCCATATTATCAATATTCATGACATGAATTGACAAAACAGTGACACATTTAGATTAGGTGGTGTAGCTTTGAGCATCGAATGATGACACTAGTAAACTGTACTAGCTCTACTTAAACTCTAGACAAGAATATTCATACCTGCGTTACTGCAAACCTCTTAGTGAATCCCGTAAGTTGCGCTTTGCTATCGACACTGAGTTTGTATCTTGAACTTTTGCCCTAACCATCACATCGGACCTTCAAGTATTTGTGTTCTTACCGTTTATAAGCCACTGCTCTAAATGCCTGGTTCCTACTGCTCCAATAGCTAAAAGTGAATTTGAATCACTGAACATATGCGGCATATTTGCCGAGTCATTTTGCTCTGACATGAACAATGCTAGGAAAGTTGAGCGTCCTTTTTGTATTTGGCAAGGACAGGACGTCCATGCATTAGGTCATTAACGACGCGATCAACAGGACATCCGAAGTCTTTGGGAGCTGTTAGGCTAGAAGGGAATGACTGACGGTGTTAGCTTACTCATCAACTATACGAGTAAAGAAACTCGAACTTACATCAGAGCTACTGACGTTGCTAACATACACCACCAGCGTTTTGCCGTTACGTCTACAGTGAAAGCGGGAGGAGCAGTTGGACCTAGTAGGGGCATCGTTACATATACATATCCTCTATATTTAAGATAGAAAGTAATTAGTTAAGTTTAGCCCTCGCCTCGAACTAATCAAGGAGCAACTGTAAAGCTCATTAACATTCAAGCTCTGAAGAGTTCGTTCATCCATGGTTTCCTCTTCATCAAATTGTTTACCGAGAAATATTCTATCCCTCCGAATTTCCGCCACAATCTATGTGAATGAGCTGAATGCACTTTCATCTAGATGCGGAAGTGAGTACCGTATGTAAGTTTCCGTTGGAACAATTGCAGTCCAATGGGAACATTTCCTGGTTCGCTTGCAGTCAGTTCGTATTGTTTGATAATTTAGGCGCCGCTGAGTACCTTCTTTGTTCGGGTGAAGTAAAACTGGCGAACGTCTTTCCCAGTCCTCCTGGGAATCAAGTTCAAGGAGGAGGCTCACTGAGTTAACGGGAAAAGGACCAGAAAATCTTATCCGGCTTTTACATTTTCTCCATGCACGCCGATTGCTTGCGAGACATAGAACTGTCACCAGACTGCAGTATGTATGGTTTTGAGTCATAAAACCCAGGAGATAAGGTTAACATTTAGACGACCTCGTTTACTTACGTTGTCAGACAGTGTAAACCAAATCGGTCCGTATGTTTTGAACTTATCTTAGACGCCCCATATAACCTGTTCAAGTAAGATTGTTACGATAGCTTTGACTTAATGTTCTTCCGGATGCCTGTTGATTTCCACATTTGTAAATAAACAAATTCAGTTTATTAGTCATACAGTGATGGAATTTCAAAATATTTTATGTAAGTTCGTTGGCTCCATGTCATTGACTTAACTTGAGTAGGGTCCGCTAAGTGAGACGATTTAGCGTGTGTCACACTGTAAACGCTACGCCAATGAGTTATCAGCATAGCTGACGCCTCCGTGGACTAGCTTGAACTAATACGAGAATTTAATCAGGCCCATAGGAACATTCAGTTCCTCGTGCAACTCGAGTCAAACGAATGTCTGGCTTTCCTAGATGTTTAAATGTCACGTAAACCAAGTTACCTGTTCCTGTGGGAAATGTTACACAGTTCGCGCCACGAGACGTTTGTAAGAACGCGTTCGCGGGCATCACTCATTGTGGTTAAGCCGATGATTAAACAAAACGTGCACCACAGCAAGTGGCACACCTAGCCAAACGAATCATCACGTCGTTATCTCTGAAGCCTTTCGCTAGATCTACTGTGTGGCATATGTGCATTCTAAGCTTATAGTTACTGAATCCTTGCAATGGTGAACGCGATGGGGATCACTCTCAACAGCCCCTAGTTGTGTGCTTACAAGCGGTTCGTTGAGGTTTTGCCTTTACCATGGCCAGCTGTTGCGCGGGAAGCAGCAGTGAGAACAAACCAAACCAATTTTGGACATTTTGACACCTTTATTTTCTAGTTAATCAGTCCACCCTTTCTGTATGAGGTATGACGATGAATCATCAAATAATCATGTTTGCTAGGTCGTCTTTCATGACTGAAACGGGAAGTATTCACTAGTTGAAATATTCCAAGTAGATAATTCAATATTTCACACCCAATCCATGGCAAGCCAGTATGATCAGAAACATTCATGGATTCATTTAGCAATATAAGACTGGACATTGTACATAGTTCAAGCCGAGTTTAGTGAACAAACTTTTCACTCAGCTCATCACTTTTGGTCGTTATCCTCTCTCCTCCATTGTGTACTGAGTGGACTTTGGTATTCGTGCCCCGAAAAACCTAACAATGCTTGACGTAAGAGACATAACTGCCTTTCTCCGTGACCTCTGACCAAGAGTGGCAGTTGGGAGTAACATCCCAAAACCCGTAAGCAGCACTATACTTCAAATCGGCACGGGTTCATCTGCATCACGCATTTCTTGATCTGAGGAGGACTACAACACAGTGTTGCAGATTTGTAAACTACAGCAGTCTGCATGGGGCATTGTCGAAGTTGCAGCGCGACCAAACCCAGCTCCTTTGTATAACAGGTTTGAATAATGAGTATTTTATCCAAAGGCAAAGAAGTTCCATACTGAAATCGTCAGGTGCTTTCAAGGAACTCCAAACAGTTGGTACAGTATGCAGTGTATGAGAGATGTGTTTAAAGGGGTTCAGCTATAACTAGGAGTAACTACTCGTCTAATGCTCCTGAAGTGGTGTCATCAAATAGTTACTTCTAATTCAATCACCACACTATTATTTCTCTTCATCAAGGTAATCCCCTGCAGTCTAATGCATTTTCCAAACTTCGGATGCCACGTTTGCATCCAGTTTTGTTAGGATGTTACTAAGACCCTCCGGAGATCAGCCGTCGCGACCCTATTGATATAATCCACATCTTCTAAACGGGCCTCTTTAACGAATTCCTGGAATATAAAGACGAGTAACAAAGCGCACAAGCCAGATCAGTTTAGTAGGGAAGTCCCTGCAGAAGGGCCATGTACCTTTTGGCCAGGAAATGTAGGATGCTTAGAACATTACGAGCAGGCGTGTTAAGGTAAAGTAGCCAACAATTATCTTACCACAATTCTCAACTCGTCTAACGCACTGAAGAAAGCAAACGTCGCATTATCTCTTTGAAGACTTGTTAGTTAACTTTTTGTACCTCTAGGACATGAGTTGAGTTTTAAACTTTTGACGCCCATGGGGACGTCAAACTACTCCACTGAAGACGTCAGCTTTTGGCCGCCGTGTTAGTCTTGAAGATCCGTGACTCATCACCAGCGTTTACTTTCTATAGCAAATATCGCTGTAAAAATTCCTCGTCCTCCAACTCAAAAGGATTTCAAGGGGATTTGTTATGTTGACGTGGATGATATCAAAATGATGGTGGCGACGGGACTACTAATGATTCTGGAGAAATCCTGTCAGCAGCGCAAGTAAGTGTGGAAGAGAAAGGATGGAAAAAGGTATTATTCACCAGGGGGATTACTTCGAAGAGAAGAGATCTCAGTGCGGTACTTGAGTTTGAAACAAAGCTCTGCTGACAGCATTCCCGAGACTTCTATAACATATTTCGCGCGGTTCTTAAACTACTCTATTAGTAAGCAAAGCTGGTTACACGTCCAATGACATAGATGGAATCAGCGGATGGTCACTGCAACTTTTAATGCCCGTTAGCTTTGTCAATACCCTCAAGCTAGCGAGCAGATTCTAGCAGTGCTTCGAGCAATTCACCCTGCCAATGAAACACGCATTGTTTAATATTTTTAAGATAACAAAACAATATTTCGCTACGGCTTATGATGTTCATGTATGCATTAATTGGTGTATTTGATGAATCCTCTTATATCAATTAAAGACTTCCACTACATCTTGCTGGACCTAAACACACAGTGGGTTAGAATACTCTCATCTAGCGAAAATGATCTAGCTGTTTGCTGGTTTTTACAAACTGTTTGAGCAGTATTTATATTTCAGAGCTCTTTTAACCAATTTACCTGTTAATTCCATTGTGCGCGTCACATAAATATTGTGCTGCAGTTTAGTAACATTTAAGCAACCATAACTGAACTGAATTTAGTAAGGCAGATGCTTTTAAAATCTGCCGTTCCATGAGCGCTTTTTGTATATATTATTTTCACTTCCTCCGATTAACTAGTTTGGCGGGAGCCAAGATAA